GTAGCTTTGGTCTCCTGTGGTAGTGGGCTCATTTCTGCTCCCAGACTGCACAGAGCCGGCACAAGTGGGGAAAGGTCCCGGGTGAGTCCAGGTTTGCTTTCTAAGGATAGGTGAGCATTGCACTCCCAAAGTGGCTCTGTGAGATAGAGGTGAAGGGGCTCATATGGTAGATGCTAATACAGGTGTTTGAAATTTGAGCCAGTGGAAATTCGTTCTTGAATTCATACTAATTCTGCCAGCTTATATCCCTTCTTGCTGTGCCCTGGCTGCTCTTCCCTTAGACTTATCTACCCTGTCCTCTGAGAAACTGGGGAATCCCTGTGCATGCTAGACTGAATTTGTTGCCTCTAGGGTTCTGTGGGAAATTCCTTCTTCCATCAATGCCCCTCTCATGTCAACATTTCACCCTTCAGTCCTCTCTTGGTTTGGGGTCTCTGCTGAGTTTCAGGAAAGGCTGTAATTATCAGTCTCCTTCTCTTCTCTGGAGATGGATGCTAGTGACCCTGTCCTGAGTAGCTGGCAGGATGCACTGTCCCTAAGTGAGCTCCTTATCCTTCTCTGGGGTTTTTGCAGGCCTCTAAGTGAGCTGTCCTCCATCCTCGCAGGGAGGCACCTCTGCAACACAAGTGCCTCCAGGCTCCATGTGTTGCTCTCACCTCTGTTTTGTGTGTGTCACATGCAGCAAGAAGTAGGAGAAAGAGAGCAAAGCCTTTGCAAAACCTGGGAGCGGGGGAGGCAAAGGGAGCTGGGACTGACAGCTCACAAGGCGCAGCTCATCAGAGCAGACTGAATGGAGGCATGTGGAGGGGGGGCTCCCAGAGGGATGGTCATGCTCAGCAGCTTTGCACAGGCGCAGGTGCCATCTCGGCTTCATGAGGGGCTGATGGGGAGTGTAGCACCGAGTGCGGTCCTGCGTGCAGCTGGGCCATGAGGTCTGCCTTGCAAGGCAGGGAGGGCAGCAGGGAGTACTGCAGTAAATACAAGGGCTGGAAGCAGTATTGGAGCTGTGCAGCTTGTGAGCTACGGGGTACCAGACTTCTGGGACAAACCAAAGGATCTGGCCACCGCTGGTCTAGCAGAGATGGAGGACAGAGGAACAGCTTGTTTTGAAACACACAAGCTCTTTTGGCACAAGGGGCACGTGATTTGTAGGTCAGTGAGACTCAGCAGGGCTCATTGAGGTCTGAAATAGGCTTTCCCTGTGCCAGCGCTGTTCACTACAGTGTTCCAGCTTCCTGCAGTGGGATGTTGGTCAGGGCAGGTACAGGCTGACATGGCCAGTTTAGCTACAGTAGCAAAGCCTAGCTAGAGAAAGTTTGCAGGTATATTTGGAAAGCTTTCTTTTCCTGAGGATGGAAAACAGAGGGTGGAGGCATGTACCTGCTGGTCATGTCCACCCTTCAGAAGCCTCCTTTCCCCTGCCCCAGCCTTTGTTTTTCAAAAACGGAAATCTAAGTTCACACTGAAAAGTTTCCAAACATTTTGCAGTGCAACCTGCGCAGAGCTTCTGATAAGGAGTGATATCTCCCTTCCTCCACACTTGCCTCTCCTCCCCCCAGTAGCTACCAGATGAAGCAGGAGGTTGCACAGGGTGGCCTGGCATGTGCATGCTCCCTCCAGCACGGGTCCTGCCTTTTCTCCTTGATGTAGTAGGTGTACCTGGCAGGGTGAGAGACAAATGGAAAGTCATGTTTGCCTGTACTGCCCACTTGCTCACCCAGCAGCAGTAGCGGAGAAAGCTGCTTACTGGGTACGTTGCACAGAGAAAGCCCCATTGCTTATCCCTAGCAGAGGTGGCAGGGAAATTCAGCTGCGTTGTCCCACTAAAGTGCTTCAGTGGTGAGCTGGAAGGAAGAGCTGGTAGGGTGCATGAGCTCCAGGTGTGTTTGGTTTTGAAGCTCTTCACTGAGCCTGGTAAACGGGCCAACTTTCTATCTGTTGGTGACGCTGGGAAACCCAGCTTGTGGTATAGTTCTGGCATCAGTTATCTTGTGAATGTCACTGGTTACCGGGAGGTTTAGGAAAGCCTTGTATTAGCCTGGTGACAGATAAAACCCTACAACAAAGGGCTTGTCGTTCAAGATTTGGAGGAGAATCAGGTTCATTACTTCTGATTCCTGAACTTATGAACCACTACATGCATTGGCTCCATCTGGCCATTCTGCTTCTGCAGAAAGATGTCACCCTTGGTCATTATTTTATCTGCCTCTGAAAGGAAGGCTATGATTAAGATCTCATCAGCTCCGGAGCCTGGCCAGGTGGTGGTGCTAGGGTGTCACATGGGTACTTACAATTATCTGACCAGGCTAGGGGGTATAAAGGAGAAGGCAAGCTCACTACTTTCTCTCCTGAGCAGTAGTCCCTCTCACTTGCTGTATTGGGACATATCAGTGCTGCCTCCAGCCCCCTGGTCTGTGCCCTGCCATCTTCCAGGGGCCTGGAGGCAGAGCATCCCTCTTCCCCATAGCCCAGTGCTGTACCCATCAGTGTGTCAGCAGCACCTGTCCTCCCAGGGAGGACTGACCTCTGTGGGATGGACACTTGTTCTGTGCTTTTCTGCCCAGAAATCCTGCCCGCTGTTCAACAATGTGATGGGGTAGGGAGAGCAGGAGAACGAGGCATGGAGCACAGGAATCAACAGAGAGGGGGGCTGAGGGAAACTTCAGGCACTAGATGAACCATGATTATCAAGTGCTCCAGACCTTCATGACACTGCCTAAAGAAATCTGTCATGCCAAGAAACCCAGGAAGATTGTAGCACAGAAGGATCTCTGTACCTGAAGAACATCGTCAGCCTGATGGCTAGGGTGTCGGCTTTTATTTCTGCACCCTTCTGAGTTTGTTCTCATCAATCCTGGAAACACAGATGTGTTTAGAAGGTGTATCTCTTAGGTGCTAACAACTGTTCACTTTGTAAGTAGCTTGCCCTTTTTGACTTCTGGAGATCAGTGCCACCTCTTGCTACTTGAAGGTTGGCAGGAGCCTGCAATGACAAGAAGGTGGCCTGGTTAGGGGTGAGGTGTTGTAGGGCTCTGTCAAAGATTAGGAAAATGCGGATCAGTGAAGCAGCTTGCCAAGATGTGCGGGTGGAGTTCTCAAAGGGGGAGAATGGAAATGATGCCTCTGTAGCCGAGTTTCCCACAGGCAGGGGAAGAGGCTGTTACCAAGGAGGTTAAGAGGCTCCAGGAACTCAGGTGCTCTGCTCCTCTGTGCTCTCACTGCAATGCAGGACCAAACACCCTGGGAAGGGTATCAGGAGAACATTTTCCTTTGCAAGGTCTTCACCAAAATGAAAATGTTTGTGCCCCTGAGAGACGGACTGTGAGTCTTCTGAGGAAGGAGTTTAGCAGTCCTTTAAAAAGCAAAGCAAAACAGTTTCTTGGCCAGAAAGCTGTCACTGTGTTTTTGTTCTTTTCAATATAACACAGAAAGTGACAGATATAGCTTTTGTATTCATTCTACACCACAGATTTACTCTGTGACCTTTCGGATATGCATGTGGGTCTAGATTTGTGAATCATAGTTATATACCCAAAAGCTGGCATACCCATAATGTGAGATTATTTGAGCTTGTTTTCCGAGGTGCTAATCAAACCTGGCTTCGAGTGAAGTCAGTGGGAGAAGATAGGCAGGCAGGATGCCACTGTGCTCAGCCCAGATGTTAGTGCATGATCAAGCTCTTCACCAGCTGCTTGCACAGAGATGGAATTTGCAGAGCAGAAACAACTGCCATGCAAATCTGTGTGGTCAGGAGGGTTCCTGAGGCACTGTAGGTATCTGCTTGGAAAAAGACAATGCATCTCTTGCCCCACCTGTTCTAGATCATTTGCATACATTTGCAAGAATGCTTTTTATTTAAGTACTTGTGAAAAATCACTGACTTCTGTAAGGCCACTGTCAGCAAGACTTGGGCCCACTACCTAGTCAATATTCTGTTATTTTAATGCTAGCTCTCTTACCCCCCAAAATCTTGGCTCCTAGCCTAGTTAGGACCTTTTGTGAGAATGTTTTCTGTCATTGGTGTGTACAAGACCCCTTCCTGTACTACTTGTTTACCTGAGAATAAATAATTGTTGTTTTACTATGGTGTCACAATACTGTGTCTCTGAACAAGCTGATCTGAGGCCTCTGAGTCTCCCCTGGATGTCCTGTTACCGTCCAGCAACTAGTATGGTTTCTGCAGAGCTCCAGCCATGGTCCACCAAACAGCTCTCCCTGCCCTCTATAAAATTCTTGTCTCAGCAGCAGTTTTAAGTGTCAATTTTTTACTATTGATCAGGAAAGGAGCAGGAGATATGTATGGCATTGTGCTAGTTGGGGATGGTTAAGGAACTGCCTCTTTACCAGTGGATCATGCTCCACTGGTGACAGATTTCCTCCACAGATGTCCCTTCCTGAGAGTTGCAATGAATGCCCAACTTAGCTCATATAACATGGCAAGTGTTAATAGCCTGTCATGGCTGGCCTGGGTTGACTTTGAAACCTTGGCCTCGAGGTGAGATTCACCATGTACCCTTGGGAATGTCCTGAGTTTCTGCTCAAAATAAAATCGACTTTTACCAACTGTGTGGTAACAAGCAGTGGCTGAGCATGACTGCATTGTGTCCAGGCACTTTTACATGACTTAACTGGCAGATCAGTCCTTGAAGTCTTTTGCACAGTGTAGCCCACTTTTGGTTGACATCCTTTAGTGCTATCATAGTTGTACTACTACTAGTTTTGCAGCCAAACTCTAAGCAGGATGGGACAACATGAGTGCGATAAAAGTTTTTTTTTGTTTGAGTCATGTAACATTGTTTCATCCCCTACAAAACTCAGGCTTGTTTCTGTTTTCCCGGAATAAAGTACTACGTCCCCAGTTGGTGGAGGTGTGGACAAAAACGTTTGAGTGTCAAGGAATTTGGAGACCCACCAAAGGTCTTGGCTGTGGCAGTAGTGAAGGGACTGAGTTACATTCCCTACCCTGGAGCCAGGCTGATGTTCGCATATTTCTCTCCCAGGACTACACCATCACCATGTACTTCCAGCAGAGCTGGAGGGACAAACGCCTGGCATATAACGACCTTCCTCTCAACCTGACCCTGGACAACCGGGTGGCTGACCAGTTGTGGCTGCCTGACACCTATTTCCTGAATGACAAGAAGTCCTTTCTGCATGGGGTGACAGTGAAAAATCGCATGATTCGGCTCCATCCTGATGGAACTGTCCTGTATGGCTTGAGGTAAGTCTAATGGGAATCTTTGCTGGTTGCAGTTGAGAATGACATCTCATCGAAACTTCCCCCATTTCCGAGATATTCTGGTAAGGCAAGGACCCAAAAGCCCAAAAGATACTCAAGTGTTGCACAGTATTAACTGTCTGTTTGTTCTCCAAGCTGGAAATTGTTGCTTCCTTCAGGCCTCTAAAGTTTGCTGTGCTGCTATAGACAAATGTTGGAGATGGGAATAGTCTGCTCTGAGTGTTTCTAGTCACTGTCATTCATGTTGCATAACACTTCAATTTGAAACACTCATTTTCAGTTGCTTATAATTTTCTGCAAGTTTGGCCTATGGAGATGAGACTTTGGTGCTTTCATATCTAAAGCTGAATCATAGAATAGTTTGGGTTGGAAGGGACCTTAAAGATCATCTAGTTCCACGCCCTCTGCTATGGGCAGTGACTCCTTCCACTAGACGAGGTTGCTCAAAGACTCATCCAGCCTGGCCTTGAACACCTCCAGGGATGGGGCATCCACAACTTCACTGAGCAACCTGGGCCACTGCCTCACCACCCTCACAGTAAAAAATGTCTTCCTAATATCTAATCTCAATCTACCCTCTTTCAGCTTTAAACCATTACCTGTTGTCCTATCACTACACTCCCTGATCAAGAGTGCCTCCCCATCTCTCCTGCAGCCTCCTTCAGGTACTGGAAGGCTGCTATAAGATCTCCCTGGAGCCTTCTTTTATCCAGGTTAAACAATGCCAACTCGCTCAGCTTGTCCTCATACGGGAGGTTCTCCAACCTTCTGATCATCTTCGTGGTCTCCTCTGGACCTGCTCCAACAGGTCTATGTCTTTCCTGTGCTGAGGACTCCAGAGCTGGACGCAGTACTCCAGGTGGGGTCTCATGAGAGCAGAGTAGAGGGGGAGAATCACCTTCCTTGACCTGCTGGTCACACTTCTTTTGATGCAGCCCAGGATATGGTTGGCTTTCTGGGCTGCAAGCACACATTGCCAGCTCATGTTGAGTTTTCATCTACCAGCACCCCCAAGTCCTTCTCCTCCGGGCTGTTCTCAATCCATTCTTCACCCAGCCCGTATTTGTGCTTGGGATTTCCCAGACCCAAGTGCAGGACCTTGCACTTGGCCTTGTTGAACTCCATGAGGTTTGCATGGGCCCACCTCTCAAGCCTGTGAAGGTCCTTCTGGATGACATCCCCTCCCTCCAGCATGTCCACCACACCACACAGCTTGGTGTTGTTGGCAAACTTGCTGAGGGTGCACTCAATCCCACTGTCCACATCTGACAATGATGTTAAACAAGACCAGTCCCAATACCGACCCCTGCAGAACGCCACTCATCACCAGTCTCCACTTGAACACTGAGCTATTGACCACAAGTCTCTAAGTGCGACCATCCAGCCAATTCCTTATCCACAAAGTGGTCCTTCCATCAAATCTGTGTCACTCCAATTTAGAGACAAGGATGTCATATGGGACAGTGTCAAATGCTTTGCACAAGTCCAGTTAGATTATGCCAGTTGTTCTTCCCTTATCCAGCAACTCTGTAACCCTGTCATAGAAGGCCACCAAATTTGTCAGCCGTAATTTGCCCTTAGGGAAGCCATGTTGGCTGTCACCAACAACCTCCTTGTTTTCCATGTGCCTTAGCATAGTTTCCAGGAGGAGCTGCTCCATGATCTTGCTGGGCACAGAGGTGAGACTGACCAGCCTGTAGTTCCCTGGGGCTTCCTTATTTCCCTTTTTAAAAATGGGGGCTATGTTTCCCCTTTTCCAGTCAGTGGGAACTTCACCAGAGTGCCACGACTTCTCAAATAGGATGGATAGCGGCTTAGCAACTATGTCTTCCAGTTCCCTTAGGAGCCACGGGTGTATCTCATCAGGTCCCATGGACTTGTGCACCTTCAGGTTCTTTAAATGGTCTCGGACCTCATCTTCTCCTACAGCTGACGATTCTTCATTCTCCCATTCACTGCCTTTTGCTTCCACGACTTGGGTAGTGTGGCTTGAGCACTTGCTGATGAAGACTGAGGCAAAAAAGTCATTCAGTACCTCAGCCTTCTCCATATCGCAGGTAACCAGGTCTCCTGTTTCCTTCCAGAGATGGCTCACATTTTCCCTAGTTTTCCTTTTATCCCAGACGTGCCTATTGAAGCTTTTCATGTTGCACTTGACGTCCGTGGCCAGATTTAATTCTATCAGGGCTTTAGCTTTCCTATCCTGATCCCTGGCTGCTCAGACTTTCTCTGTATTTGTCCCAGGCTACCTGTCCTTGCTTCCACCCTCTGTAGGCTTCCTTTTTGTGTTCGAGTTTGTCCAGGAACTGCTTGTTCATCCATGTAGGTCTCCTGGCAAATCACTTTAGTAATTTTTGAGTAAGAGATAGGAGACATGTTTTTGCACAGTTAAAAAAAAAAAATGTGTCTTTACCAGAGCAATTCTGAAGATTGAGTCTTGAAAGTTGATATCTAGTACGGGCATGGTCCTCAGTCAGGAGGCTTTTTGTGGTGTCTGGAATAAATTAACGTAGGCAAGTCCACAGCCTTTGAAAGTGCTGTGCTTGTGTGCGGTGGAAGTGGCAAAGGTTGGCCTTACTGTATTATCTGGATATATGAGATGCTAGGGTAGGTAAGAAAGTTAAATGAAGAGGGCAGAGGGCTAAAAGGGCAGTTTGCAACTATAGGTAAGAGTACAGGTTTTGGATGCTGTACAGAAATCTAAGCAACAATTTTCCTAACCTTGTGTTTGTCTGCTTTGAGCTTTTCTCCTAGGTTTTTTTTTCCTTTTCGACTACCAAAATGCACAGCTGTTTTTTCAGAACTGCCTCCACATTCACAAATGATTGCGATAGCAGCTCTGGGCTTACGTCCCAGTGCAGCAAAGGGGGAGGAAAGACCTTTCTCCTTCAAAGAGGGTACACCCACCCTTCCCATTTACAGTATCAGCTCCTCTACTGCTTCGTGTTTTGTGGCAAAATCTGACGTGTTATGCTTTTTTTTCCTCCTCTTTAAGTAGCAGGGCTGTTTTGGGGAGGGTAAGGCAGGGTGTAAGCACAGCAAAGTAGGAGGCTGCCTAGGGCATCATCCTGCCAGGGCAGCAAGGTGGCTGTGCCCTGTGCTTTCCCTATGGCAGAGCCCTGGGAAGCCAAAAGATCACCAGTTGCTGTTGGTGCTGAGGGACAGGCCATGGTATCTGGGGTGATGTATGTATTACTTTTTCCTTCCAATTAGTGGATACCTCTTGCTGAAGGCCCAGAGGCAGCAAAAGGTGCAACAAGCCCAACTGTGTGACTCTGTCACAGTTTTGCCTCTCCCTTCCTGGGACAGGTACATCCATCTCTCCACCGTGGGCCGGTGATGTTGTTTGGCTGATACTGTCAGGAAGCCCTGAACCAGCTTTACTGACCCACCAGAAAGATTGCAGCCTTCCCACTGCTGACTACCCCAAATTTCCCAATTGTGTTAAAACAAGAGTGAAGGTTAGGCAAGACGATACTTTGACTTGGGGTGGGTAAAAGCATAGATTTAACCTGTTGGGAAGGAAGGAGCGAAGAATGCTGTTAAGCTCAGGCTGCTCTCTGCTGCTGAGCCAGCCCACATAAGTGTAGAGCTGCCTCCCCCAGGCTGGTGGGAAGCCTTTGCACACACCTGCACAGCAAAAGAAGCAGAAATGCTGGTATGTTTTTATCGGCTGCCATTTAGCTCAAATAATGAGCAGTGTGAACCCTGCAGCACAGGTGACAGGCAGTGGAAGTCCTTGGAGGGTTTGCACTCAGGCTGGCTTGAGCTGGGACACTGTGCACGCACCTCCTGCACTGTCCCTTCCCTTCCCCTCCCGCGGGACCCTGCAGTGCGGGGAAGGGAGCTCAGCTCCCTCCCATGACCTGTGCAAATGGGTGAGATGAGGAAAATTGCATCCAGGCCAAAAGAAAGAAAACGACAGCTGTTTGCCCCTGTTATTTCCAGGGCCATAGTAAGATCTGCCTGTGTTGTTTTATCTTTTTGGCTGATTTTCCTGGAAGCTGCTCTCTTGCCCCTGGAGAAAATGGCAATCTCAAAAATGAAGCACTGAGCAACTTCAGCTCCTGTTTCCCAAACTGTACCTCAGGTCAAGATGCCTGGCTTTTACTATCCTGAAAGCACTTGGGTTTTGGGGGACAAGCCAGGTGCCCTGAATGCTTGAAGTCCTTCCAGCTTTATTCATGGTAGTATGGGCAATGTTTTCTTTAGGGCTGCTTTCTGTACTGACTCCTGCACCTGCGATTTTGCTGACAAGAGAAGTGCTAGGTGCAGTTTTGCAGGTGCAAATAACTGATCCTATTCAGAAATACATAGCGACTTGCACAGCAGGTGTAAGCAGGTACAAACCCAGTCACTGGATATTCACCTGTGTTCCCTTTATCTCTGTAAAAATGAACCCATGCTTGTACTGCAAACTGGAAAAAAAGTGTGTTTTGAAGCCTGTTCTTGTCTTTTCCTGCATTTTTTGGAAGGATTCATAAAATGGAGTTCTCCTGATGGAAGAAGGCCAAAGGAGGCAATTTCTGTTTCTTTTCCTTTGTTTGCCAGTTTGTTTTTCCCCTGAGCGAGATACCACAGCTCTGCTCCTTCTCCTGCTACCTTCTCACCAGTCACTTCCCCCTCCTTTGAGCTGATCCTGTAGCAAAGTGACTCAATCATGCTATTTGTGGCACAACAGTCGTTTTTCTTTCCAGCAGTCTCTGATGTCAGAATCCGGGGAGGATGACACCCTGGCAGGCCCCTGCCTTCAGCAAGTGTTCAAGAGACTGGCAGGATCAGGCTCAAGCGCTGGATCAGATGCCAAGGTCCCAGCTAGCTCACACAGAAGTCAAATGCGTATTTTGTTTCTGACTTCAGTGAGAACAAGATCAGGCTTCAGATAACTTGTTTGCATGAGTAAATGAAGCCCTTTATTCCTCCGCTCTGCTCCATTGTGAAAGTTGTGTGTCAGAAAAGCATATGCTTGTTTTTGGTAGAAT